AATAAAGCAGAAGCGGACATCAGACGGGTTTTTTTTTTTTCGAAGTATAAAGACGGATAATGCGACAGTTGTCTCACTGACTGATTCGTGATGGGCACACTTCCAGGATTCCCCAGATGGCGTGAAGCGAGTTGAGGCCTGTGGTAGTTGCTCGTAAATGCTCAAAATTCTCTTGTCCCACGTGACTGTGCGGCCCCGTGGCCGCCACGAGATGCAACCGCTGCAGGGCTCAATCCCCACGATATTGTGCCGATCTCTCTCACTCCGAGAGGCCAGAAGTCTCCTGCGAGTACGGAGTTAATCAGCCTAAACGATCATATGTCAGGCTGACTTCACGAATATCAGTTTTGGGATGGGTTCATGTAACCATTCTTGTGTGTGTGGGCAGTATTTTGAGGTTAGATAGCGCGGAGAACGAACATTCAGCGGATTGAGGGGCATTTTGGCATTTAACGAAAATTTATTTGGTGGGGGTCAGTCTGGATGTGCGGAGGGAACAGGTGAAGGAAGAGTATAGAGGATCTAGCAGTTCCCATACTTTTAGCACCTCAGGAGCTGATTATGTTTGCATAATTCTCCTCTTGCTTTCTTCACGCCCTCCAGTACTCGCTACCTCCCCGAAGCTCGTCCTAATGAGCCAATGAGATGTCAGTACTTCTTCAAAAATGTCATTCTTTAAAACTTTTTTTTGGACACAATAGTTGTAAACAAATAACGATCGCATGTGACAATGCGCGAATTAAAGAAAAATTTTTTGTAATGGATATTTATAAATAAATTCAGTTACAGGAGTTCACAAAATCTTTGGAGAAGCTCGTTTGCATAAAGACAAATTGCTCTGTTCGCCATCGCGATCAACATTCGCGATTTCAAAATTATTTCTCCTCTGTGCTACCGCTCCCCCAAAACAAATATCCAAACCCCGATGTTTTTGACAGCTTACGGATTGGAATTTTTCAGCCTGTTTTCGTGTTTACAAAAAGAGAAATTTAAAAAATGTCACCCGTGCAAGTGTTATTCGGTTCGTTATAAAAACGTACACAAAACTGTAGGTCAACTTACTAAACGAGACCCGTCAAAACTCCGATGATGGATCGATCGTTACACCAAATGCCTTTTTTGTTGGTAGTTTCGAGTCCTAGGCAGCAAGCCTCAGAGTGAGCGCGTATATAACACACGTCATTGCGGTACGGTTGGAATAAAATTGCAGTAAATTCAGCCGTACATTTCTGTCTCGTATGTCGGATTTTCTCTCGCAAACCAACTCCAGAGTTAATTTTACGAGGCTGACCAGTGCCGGGAGTCGTGTGCATTTTTGTCCCTTGTTGTGGATTTGTAATCATAAATTATGTGGGGGGATTCCATTCATTCATTTGTTTGAAGACGGGCTTATTTTTGAGAGGGTGCCCTGGTGTGTCGCCATTTTGGTTTGAGGGTGTCCAGTTATAAAATTGACTGAATAAATCATTCATGTTACAAATGATTTTTCTCATCAAATTAGAAGTTTTATGGCGTACTTTTCCGGTTTCAAAAACAATAATTAAAGAAAATGTTCATAAATAATGGAGGACTTGTGACTGCAGTGGTAACAGTCGAATTTTGATCGGGCAACATCGCACGCTTCGGCTAGTAGTGGGGCTGTAACAGTGAGATGAATGTTTGTGTGTGTTATACGTGTCCATATGCTTCCAGCACTGAATTATCGTCACCGACTTTACCGACCTCGATCAGCTGTTGTGCGGTGTTGTCGCGTTGCTCGACTCGTAATGGCGGTCAATTTTTTTTAGAGGAATTCGAAANACGCACGGTCCCGTTTCTTCCCTCAGCGTAATGTTACAAGTGATTTTCAGAAATTAATTTCTCACTAGGATGCCCCGGTCGAAGGATTGAGATTATCACTGACGTGTGGCTCAAATATGAATCTGGCATATGAGACAATATCAAAATTATGGTGAATAATATGGGTCTTGGCTGGACATCCTTAAAAAACACTTTCACGTGTCCTCCCATCAGAAACCACTGGCCATTTTCCCAGACGATAAAATTCACCAGCCCAGAAACATCGCAGTCTAATTAATTTCCGCCGAACACGTAAAGATATACAGTCCCAGATAATAAACCCGTTGTTACACACATCCAATAGACATCCTGAGACCACTTAATTGTGTGTGGCCACAGCAGTGCCACATCAATTAACCGGCCGAATAAGGAGATAATACTTACCTCGGAAGCCAGATTTCTAAGGAGAAACTGCGAGGGGAGAGAAAACTCCGGGCATCACAGTTGGCACTCGAGTCCAAGTGCTCGGATGGTCGGAAAGTCCCCCCTCGAGGAAAGCTTTGTGTGGTTGTACGACAAACCCTTGCACGGAGTAAACGTTCCGTGGAATTAATTGTGAACGGGAGGAGAGAATGATAGATACTTCTTTCACTTGATCCGCCCTTAATTGACTTCCGTTTCACACAAAAATAAATTGGAATATTCGGGGGATTTATTGTTGATATTTCCGGTGCCGCAGCCGGCGATGTTGGCGTTAATTATCGATGATGTTTTTAATTAGATTAGGGGGAGGGGTGTCGGGGAGATGAACTGCGGAATTATTGAGGATATCCGAGTGGAATGTACAACCGGAGAAATGGTTTACTTTGATAAACCATTTCCGTAAATAAATGGGTTCATCCAGATAAATTTTTCAAGGTGTTTCATTGTCTCATTGTTCTCGACCCCTGAAATTTCAATTTTGAATCAACTATTAGTTAAAGTTGACTCAAAGTTTTGTTTATATTAAATAAATGTTTTTTAGTATTAATAAATGTTGATTTGAATCAAATAAATTTTTTATTTTAACTGAATACATATTTATTTGATACTATAAATTTATTAACATAAAAATTGGATCAGAATGATTCTAGAAAACTCAAATCGTCCGGATTTAACGTTTTCTGGATTAGGTTCATACGACCTTTTTCCACACAGCCCACGAATATTGTTGAAACACACTTTCGAAATTCTTCACACAAACTACATCAAAACGTGATTTTCTTAAAATAAGAAAACTGCTTATTACAACTAAATAAATTATTTATTTGATTTAAAAAAATCATTTATTTGAAATAACTAAATCGTCTGCTCAATATAAGTAAATCCGTTTTCTTGAAACAAATAACCAACTTTATTCATTCGCAATAAAAATATTCTCGAAATAAGTAAAAAATTTCGAACGAAGATTCTCATTCGATTCAAAAAAAAAAATTTCTGAGTACAAGAAACCCACTCCCGAGAATAGTACCTACAAAATCGCCCCTCCGCACCCCAATATCTCCCGTCTCTCTCCTGCACATCACCCTCTCCACCCCTCCCCAAAAAAACCCTCCAAAAAACCCTCAACCCCCCCCCTTTAAACTCTTTGTGACACTAAAACAATAAATTGCTACTCACTCACAGCCGAAGAGCTCTCCCCGCCCCACCCCCTCGCAAAAGAGAGTATTCGCTGTCAGCAATTGCGCACCCGACATCTTCCTCCCCCCCCCCCCACCCCCCTCCAGTGGCAGCTGCCCGTACCCCAGGGGATGGCGCGTACGAGACCATAATACTGTGCAGTGGAAGTGTCAGAGTCAGAGGGGGAGTGGCGCGGCGCGCGAAGGAGGGGGGGGGGGGGACCGGGGGGGTTCGGGAGGGGTGGTAGAGGACTACCGACTAAAGTATAAAGGTTGAGAAAAGCTCAATAAGCGAATGAGAGAGACCGAGCGAGAGAGAATGGGACGTATGAGAAGCCGGCGATGTGGAAAAGTGAGACGAGGGTCACCATCCGTGAACGTTCGCACGTACACGCTGTGCTTTGCGCGAAAACCCAGGGGCCCTTGCCAGTTGATGGCCACAGTAGTGGTGGTGATATGGCTCGGTAGTGGGGTGGGGGGGCCGAGCCCCCCCTCCCCTTGAGCCGCGCTGCGGAGAGAGACGGCGATTCACTCCGCAAACCCCCCACCCCCCCGGCGCGAAGCAATAGTGTTGAGTGGGAGGGGCCTAAAAACCGAGTGCTGATGGTGAGGCGGAGCCGCGAGAGCGACGGGGTATATTCCCCGAATGCCACTCCCATTTGTCGGAGGGTCGTATCAATACGTTCACATTCACACAGTCTAACGCGACTCCGCGGCGATCGTGTGTCGTTGACGGTAGAGGGAGAGACAGCGCTCCGAGGGAGCGAGAGGGAAGCAGAGTGGGGAAAAAAGTGGGTAACAGATTGGT